ATCCTCCACAACCTCCTCCTCCTGCTTTCTCCACCTCATCCTCCCCCACTCTCCTTACCCCCTTCATCCCTCCCTTCCCCCCTCCTCCTCCACCTCCCCCTCATCCTCCACCTCCTTCTCATCCTCATCCTCCCTCATTGCAGACGGCGCTGACGACCATGCAAGGCGAGTTGCAGCAGATGAAGGACTCCTCAGTGCATCAGCGACGCAGGATGAACGAGATGCTGTTCTCTCTCCTGTCGGATCTCGGAGAAGTCGGGAACGTGGTCGGCGGCACGGCTGGGGAGCTGTCGGTTAAGGTCGGTCCGGGAGGGGAGGGGTGGAGAGGGGTGGGGTGGGGAGGGGGGGAGGGAGAAAGGGGGGGGAAGGGAGGGGGAGGAAGAAGGATGGGGTGGGTGGAAGGGATGGGAGGGGGAGAGGAGGAGGGGAGGGGGGATATAGGGTGGGGTGGGTTGGGGAGAAAGAGTGGGTTGGGGGGAGGAAAAAGGGTGGATGGAAGGGGGGGAGGGGGGAGGAAGGGGGGGGATGGGTGTGCGTTAGGTGTGGATGGTAAGTTAGGTGGAATAATTTGAGTGAATGTGGATGTGGGGGTCGGATGTGGACGAAATTGGGTGTGAGTGGATGTGGATATGGATGAATGTGGTTGTGTAAATGTAGTGGATGCGAGTGGATGTAGGTGTGGGTGAATGTGGGTTTGGGTGACGCTATTAGGTCATGTGAATGGATATGTGGGTGGATATAGGTGTGGGTGAATGTAGGTGTGGATGGATGCGTGAGTACAGAGAATGTGGATGACAAAGGGGGGGGGATGTGAATGATGTGGGTAAATGGAAATATGTTAGTGAAGGTGGATGAGGGTGGATGAGGAGGGTGTAGTGGATGATGGGAAAGGTGGGTGATTGTGGATGATGTGGATGGCGAGTTAGTTAAGGACTTCTGAATGATGTGGATTGGTGAATGTGGATGTGAGATGGTTGATGTCATTGCTAATTTTCATTCTAATTATAATGAATTTTCGCAATATTCTATTTATATCTGGCCTTAAATTTCCAGGATGTGTACTAATATTTAAATGTATTCATAACAAATTTTTCACATTTTATTCATAAATTTCCATAACTATCCTAGGAAATATATTGATATTTAAACTTATTAATTACAAAATTCCACACTATTTTACTCCGAGATATGTACTAATCTCCAAAATACCAAAATATCCTTCTCAATTTTTTTCTTTAAATTCCCACAACATCCAGTATACGAATATTCAATCCTATAATACATACTTACGTTTAATATACTGATTTACAACCGGCAAATTGCAGAATTCAGGAGACCCCAACAAACTAGAGGAGGAATTCACAATGGCGCGTCTGTACGTCTCCAAAATGAAGAGCGAAGTGCGCAACTTGGTCCAGCGGTGCAGCACTTTGGAAAATTTCCAGGTAGGTATATTTTTTTGATGCTTTAGTTTTTTTATGTTTGTTATTATTCATTTATTTGTTGTTTTTGTTTTAGGTATTTGTTTATCTTGTTTTATTTTGGGGGGATGTTTTTTTTATGTGTTGGTGTTTGTATTTATTTTATTTTGTTACTTGTACTCAACAGTCAACGCATAAAAACAATAGACTTATGTTCGTTATTGTTAATAGAAATTAGAATGTAAGCTGCTCTGTAACATAATTACTTTCTTGGTTATTTAATAGTCAATTTAAACGTTACGTGTATTCTGTCGCCAAATCCATAATTACTAATATCTATTCTTATCTTCTCCTTCTCTCCTTTTCATTCCTCTCCTTGCCCCCTTTCTGTGTCTCCTCCCCTTCCGTCTCCTTTTCCATTTCATTTCTTTCTCCCCTTTCTCCCTTATCCCATCCTTACTCTCCCTCTCCCTTCTTTCTTCGTCATGCCTATCTCTTCTCTCATCTCTCACCTTCCTTCAATTCCCTTCATTTCCTCTTCCTACTTTCCCCTCTCTCCATTCACACCTTTCCCTCTCCGTTCTTGTTCCCCCTTCCCTCTCTCTCCCACTCCCTCGTCCTCCCCTCCCCCCTCCTCTCTCCCCCACACCTTCCCCTCACCCATCCCTCCCCCTTTCCTCCCCCACTCCCTCTCCCCCCCATCCCTCCCTCCCTCCCTCCCTCCCCCTCCTGCCTCCCCTCTTCCCCCCTCCCCACAGGGCGACTGCAACAAGAAGATCGACGACTACGAGAAAGAGCTGAGCGAGTGCCGCCTCCTGATCAGCCAGCACGAGGCCAGAATGAAGACCCTGCAGGAGTCGATGCACGAGGTGGAGGTCCGGAAGAGGCAGCTGGAGGAACAGGTGGGTGTGGGGGTGGGGGGGAAGGGGGTTAAGGGTGAGGGAGGGGGAGAGGGAGGGGAAGGGGCGAGGGAGGGGGAGGGAGGGAGGGAAGGGTGGGGAAAGGGGGTTGAGGGTGGAGGAGAGGGAAGGGGGAAGGGGGAAGGAGGAGGTGGTTGTCCGGAAGAGGCAGCTGGAGGAACAGGTGGGTGTGGGGGTTAAGGGTGGGGGAAGGGGCGAGGGAGGGGAGAGGGGCGAGGGGGAAGGGGGGAGGGAGGGAGGGAAGGGTGGGGAAAGGGGGTTAAGGGTGGAGGGGAAGGTGGGGAAGGGGGAAGGGGCGAGGGGGAGAGGGTTGAGGGTGGAGAGGCAGCTGGAGAAACAGGTGGGTGTGGGGCGAGGGGGGAAGGGCGAGGGTGGGTGAAGGGGGAAGGGGGCAGGAGGAGGAAGGTTAAGGGTGGTGGAAGGGTGTAGGGCGAAGGAGGGATTGGGGGGAACAGGGGGGAAGAGGGGCAGGGGGTTGAGAGTGGAGGGGAAGGGTGTGGGGCGAAGGAGGGGTGGGAGAGACAGGTAGGTGTGGGGGAGGGGGAAGGAGCGAGAGGGAGGGGGAAGGGAGGGTTGAGAGGAGAAAGTGGAGAGTGAAGGGGAAGGGGAAGGGAGGGTGGGTTGGGTGGATGGGAGGGAGGGAATAAGGAGGGTAGAGGGAGAAGGGAGAATGAGGGAGGGGGTAGGGGGATGAGGGAGAGTGAGGATGGGGGGATGAGGGAGTGTTTAGAGGGAGGGAGAAAGGGGGATGAGAGAAGGGGAAGAGGGAATGAGGGAGGGAGAAAGGGAACGAGGGAGAATGAGGGAGGGTGGAGATGAGGGATACTAAGTAAGAAGGGAAATGAATGAGGGAAGGTAGAAAATCAGGAGAATAAAGGAGAAAACCAAAGAGGAAGAAAAATATAGCAATAAATGGTAAATTCATAATCAAGGGAAGTGATGCTTATTTTTTCTCCATACTATTTTTTTTTCTTTATATGCTAATAGATATTTTTCATCACTAACCCAAACAACATTATTTTTTCGTGGAAGCTCATTCATCTCATCAACACAATTTATTTATTTTTTTATGCTAATAGATATTTATAATCGCCAACACAAATGACATTCATTTTTCCCGGACTGTTATGGATCTCATCACCACATTATTAAGATTCAATTCTGCATCTCAGTAATTGGTCTCGCTTTGAATAATAAAATTCCTGTTTTTTTTATTATTCCCAAGTACTCGTTAAAATAATCTTTAAAAATGTCTCTTTGTACTGGAAGTAATTATGTATGTCTGCAAAGATAAATTAATTAACCATTTCATTCGTTCACTAAATAGATGGATGATTAAGGGAAAATATAAATAGATAGGCAGGGAAATAGATGGATAAGTAGATAAATAGATAGATAGGTAGATAGATTCCCAGACAGATAAATAGATAAATAGAAAGACAGAAAGATAGATAGATAAATAAAAAATAGATAAATGGATAGGTAGATAAATAGATGGATAGGTAGATAGATTCTCAGATAGATAAATAGATAAATAGAAAATAACAGATAAATAGATAGATAGTAAGATAGAGAACTAAATAGATAAGCAGATAGATAACAGATAGATAACAGATAGATAACATAGATAAACAGATAGATAACAGAAAACAGAAAGATAACAGATAGATAACAGATAGATAACATAGACAAACAGATAGATAACAGAAAACAGATAGATAATAGATAGATAAGAGATAGATAACATAGACAAACAGACAGAACAACCTTCCAGAATCCCTTCAAACTCCTATCCGCCCTTCTTCACCTTCGCCCTATCCTGCAGGTGGACACCCTGACGGAGGACGTGACGAGGCTCAAGGCGGCCGAGGGACTGTCCATATCCGAGGGCGAGTCGAAGGAGGCCCTGGAGAAGCAGATGGAGACCCACCGCGACCTCCACCAGAAGCAGGTCGTGCTACTTCGTCAGGAGATCAATCAGAAGCAGGCGCTCATTGAGGATCTGAAGGAGTAGGTCGTCGTTTCGGCAGGTCGTGGGTGGGTCAGTGGGTGGGTTGGTGGGTGGGTGGGGGTGGGGGGGGGTAATTAAAGGGAGGGGGAGAGGGGTAGGGGGGATGAAGGGGGAAGGGTTGTTTTTTTGACGTTTTTTTCCTGTTTTTTTCTTGTTTTTTTAATAGATATTGGTATTGGTATTAATATTGTCTTTGATGTTATTTCTTATTATTATTGTCGTCATTATGATGTTGATTGTCATTGCAATTGCTGTTGATATTAATGTTGTTATCAGTGTTACTAATCGTATTATCGTCATTATGAGAACTTTAATTTCCGTAACTATTACTAGTATTCTTTTCTTTTCTTTTTTTGTCCACATTACTAACCATGGTTCTCTCTCTCTCTTTCTTTCTTTCTTTCTCCCTCCTCCATCTCCTTTCACCTCCCGTTCCCCCACCCATCCTCTTTCCCATCCTCTTACCACTTCCTCTTTCTCCCTCCTCCTCCATCACCTCTCCTCCTCCTCGTCCTCCTCCTCGACCTGCACCTCCTCCTCCAACAGTCAAAACCAGAAGCTGACCCTCGAACTCGACCAGCTGCGCGGTGAACACAACAAGCTCAAGGTCGAGGAGGCAGAGAAAAGTACAAGACTTCACGAACTCATGTGAGTACGAAAAGAAAACGGGATTTTGTATTTGAAATGTTTTTTTTTGTTTTTCTTTTTTTCTTTTTTTTTCTTTATATGTTCTTAGGGAGATCGTTTTTTTTTGTTTTGTTTTGCTTTGGTTGGGAGAGGGGGTTGGTTGGGAGGCGGGGGGGCGGGAGGGTGTGATTTTGATTTTATTTTTTTGGATTTCTTTTAATTTGTTTTTTTTTCTGTTTGTTGGTTTTGATTTTATTTTAGGTTCGTCGCCTTTTTGTTATTGTTGTTGTTATTATTTGCTGCTGTGTGTGTGTAGTTTTTTTTTATATACTTTAATATGATTTAGTTTGTTTTATTTACACAATGGGTATATTTATATAAACAAAATATTTTATACGCAGGTTTCTTTTTCTCATACTTTTTAATTACCTGAATTTTAGTATTTTAATCTTCTTGGTTCTCTGACGTACAAAAAAAAAGGTTTGTATATTGCTGTACAGATTATGGACTCTTGAGAGAAAAAAAAATGAAATAAACAGTAGGTTTGGGTTCCTATTAAAAAAAAAAATCGAAATCTATTTACTGTTTGATTATCATGTATTCCCTCAGTTGCTAATTTTTTGACTGTTCTTATTTTCATCTTTCTGTTTTTCATTTTATTATTCTCTCGTTTATTGAGTTATTTTCTGTCTTAGAATTATTCTGTCTTTCTCTTTCTCTCATCTACGCCATTATTAGGTTTTCTTCGTAATTCGTGTATTTACAGTCTTCTATATTATTCTTTCACGTTTTTTTTCGATTCTATTACTTTTCAAGTACTCAAAAAAAATCTTATTTTGTCATATCATCCAATTCATTCAACTATTTTCTTATTCACCCAATTTACCGAAAGAAAGAGAGAGAAAGAGAGAGAGAAAAAAATAAGAAAAAATAAAAAACAAGGAAAAACATAAAACAAAACAAAAAAATAAATAGATAAAAATCAACACGAGTCCAAAGTCCACCATTACAGGATTGCAAACCTCCTCATCTCAACCCTGCAACATTGCAGCACCTCGCTTTGCAGATTGCACCTGTCTGTTGCATGCCTCTCATTGCACCAACTTGTCCGATTCGCTGCTCCTCTCTCTGCCTGAGTCTTCGTCTTCCTTTTGAGTTTTATTTTTAGGAGGAAAATGGCATGGAGGTGGTGGGTCCTGCTCGAGGTATTTTCTTTTGTTCTGTTTTTATTTTGTTTGTTTTGTTTTTTTTCTTTTTCTTCTTCTTCTTTTACTCTTTTCTTCTTGTTTTTTATTCTTTCTCTCTCTTTCTTTTTTTTGCTTCCTTCTTTGTTTTTTTGTTTTTTTTGTTTTGTTTTGTTTTCGTTTTTACTTTTTCTTCTTTCTCTTTCTTTCTCTCTTTCTTTCTTTCTCTCTTTCTTTCTTTTTTTCTTGCTTTCTTTTTTTGTTTTTGTTTTGTTTCGGTTGATCCTTCTTTTCATTTCATGTTTTTTTTTTCTATTTCTTCTTCTTTCTTTCTCCTCCTTCGTTCTCATTTTTTTCTCGTTATTTTTCCTTTTCCTTTCTTAATTTTTCACTTTTGTTTAACTTTTTTCTTCTTTATTGCATTTCTTTGTATTTTTTTTATTATTATTATTCTCCGATTTTACAAATATTCTTGCATTTCTTAAATCTTTATTTCTATATTTTTCTGCCGTTTGTCTTCCTCCTTTCTTTCTTATTCTTCCTTCTATGCTTCTCCCTCATCTTCTTTCTACTTCTTCCTTTCTCCTTCCTTTTTGTTCGTGTTCTTCCATCTTTTTCTCTTCTCATTTTCGCTCCTCTTGTAAATCTTTTTCGTCTTCCTCGCCTCTTCCTCTCCCCTTTTTCTTCTCCCTTCTTGTTCCTCCACTTTTTCTTTGTCTACCTCTTTCCTTCTTCTTCCTTTATTTATCACTTTCCTCGTTTTTTTTCTTTTTCTTTTTCTTTTTCTTTTTCTTTTTTTTTCTTTTTTTTTCTTTTTTTTCTTTTTTTTTCTTTTTTTTTCTTTTTTTTCTTTTTTTTTCTTTTTTTTTTCTTTTTTTTCTTTTTCTTTTTCTTTTTCTTTTTCTTTTTCTTTTTCTTTTTCTTTTTCTTTTTCTTTTTCTTTTTCTTTTTCTTTTTCTTTTTCTTTTTCTTTTTCTTTCTTTTTGTTTTCTTTTTCTTTTTCTTTCTTTCTTTTTTCTTTTTATTTTTCTTTCTTTTTTCTTTTTTCTTTTTCTTTTTCTTTTTCTTTTTCTTTTTCTTTTTCTTTTTCTTTCTTTTTCTTTTTCTTTTTCTTTCTTTTTTTTTCTTTTTCTTTTTCTTTTCTTTTTTTTCTTTTCTTTTCTTTTTCTTTTTCTTTTTCTTCTTCTTCTTCTCCTCATTTCCGCTTCCATTTCTCTTCTTCTCTTATTATTATTCCACTTACATTTTCTCCCATTTTCTTCTTCTTCTCCTCCTTCTCCTCCTTTCCTGTTTCCCTTCTTCTAATCCTTTTCCACCTCCTCTGCTTTCTTCTTTCGCCTTTCGTAAAGAAGAATAAATGAAACAAACAAAAAAATTAGCGAAGTAAATTGTGTTTGTCTGTTTATTTGTTTGTATTTGTATCTTCATTTCCTCTCGCTCGTAAAAGAGTAATCAATAAGTACGATAAAAAAAAATAAATAAATAAATAAATAAGTAAAATAGAAATATAGAAATATAGGTTTTGATTCCTTTGTCGAAAATCCCGCTCCGTAGATTGTCATTTGTTTTGCCATTATCGTTCTTTTCCTTATTGTAACCGCGACTGTTAATAATAGCGTTATTTTCGTTGTTATTGGTAGGCTTTTATGATTATTATTATTGTTATTTTTATCGTTATTATCATTGTTATTGTTATTGTTATCGTTATTATTATTGTTATTGTTATTGTTATCGTTATTATTATTATTATTGTTATTGTTATTGTTATTGCTATTATTATTATTATTATTATTATTATTATTATTATTATTATTGTTATTATTATTATTATTATTATTATTATTGTTATTATCATCATCATCATCATTATTATCATTATCATAATCGTTATCATAATCGTTAACATCATCACTACCATTATCATTATCATTATTATCATCATCATTATTATCATCCCCATTTTCGTGAACAGCCATTATTTTTTGTGGCAAGACTAGATGGATGGGTGTGTGTTCAAAGCCGTGAGTTTAAAGGGAAGTTACTTTAAAACTTAAGAGCACGTGATGAACGTTATTTTTGAACGAAGATCATATGATGAACACTACTGTCGAACGTAAGATCACACGATGAACGTTACTTATGAACTTGAAATCACATGATGAACGTTATTCTTGAACGTAAGGTCATATGATGAACGTTATTTTAGAAGTTAAGATCACATGTCGAACGTTACTGTCGAACGTAAGATCACTTGATGGACGTTACTTTTAACTTTTTGAGCATGAGGTTCTAAAGTGAACCTTACTTTTGAACCCATTTTCAAAACCACATAAGAATCACCTTTGAACACATTGAATGAGACATCATTTTAAAAATAACTTTTGAACGTAAGGCCATATGGTGAATACTGCTCGTGATAGTGATATCACATGAATATAACTTTTGAATATATGAACATGCTTAAAAGTAAGCTCACATAAGTATAACTGATATGATATGAATATATTGAATTTTACTTTTGAACGTGATATCACAAAAACATAACTTTTGAACATATGAACACACTTACTCATGAACGTGCACCATTTAAATATAACTTCTTTTGCACGAAAGCTTAGATGGTAAACATTACTTTTCATGTGAGACACATAGAAAAGGGAGCATTTTTTTGTCTATATTTATAGCAGGAAGTGACATCATCTACACCCCCCCCCAAAAAAAAAATAAAAAAATAAAAAAAAATAAATAAATAAATAAATAAAATAAATAGATAGGTCAGACGGACGTGAGTAGTGCATTGTGTTTTAGATTAATTGCTATCGTCATTATGAATTTCATGCTCTTTTTAATTATCTAATGATAATAATGATTATGATTATAATAATGTGGTTAAGAATTATAGATATGATAATAATGATAATGATTTTAATAATGATAATGATAGATAATAATAATGATAATAATGATAATAATAATAATAATAATAATAATAATAATAATAATAATAATAATAATAATAATAATAATAATAATAATAATAATAATAATAATGATAATAATAATAATAATAATAATAATAATAATAATAATGATAATAATAATGATAATGATAATGATAACAAAAGTAATGATAGCAATAAAAAGAATGATAATAATGATAATGATAATAATAATAACATTAACATTAACAACAAGAGTAATTATATTGATAATAATAAGAGTAATAGTAATTCTTATAACAACAAGAGTAACATGATAATAACACTTCGTAGATGCTTAAACGTAATTAATCTAACACCACAAGCACGGCATCGAAAGTGCTTCACTCCAGAGCATAAGATGAACCTCATGCTGAATCACAGGCTGGTCCCCATCCCATTCTTTTGCACATCAGCTTAGGCATGACAGCTATGACAGCTATTTCTGTTCGTTTTTTCAACTTTCATTTCGATTATTCTCGTTTAATCTTTTTTTTTCTTCGTTTTTTTCGTTTTTGTTGTTAAGTTTCGTTCATGGATGTAAAGTAGAAGAAGGAGAAACGGAAAAAAATTGTTATTGTCTGTTTGTCATGTATTTATGCGTCTGAACTCTCTTTGGAGAAGAACTCGGGAGAAATTTCGTTAAAAAAAATTATATATAAATAAAACAAAATTTAATTCTTCTTGCTTTACAAAAAAAAATTAAATCTTGCATCCATCAGATAATAATACAGTAACGAAGAGAAAGCTTTTGATTTTATAAAGAGAGAGAGAGAGAGAGAAAGAGAGAGTTTAAGAGACGCTAATAAAAAAAAAAAAAAATGAAGAATAAGAAATGGATAAAAGAATAAGAAATGAA